CAAAATCATGAAGATATCTGTTCCACAATTAATATACGACGTGATCTTGACAACCAACCCTAGGTATCTGTTTGGGGTCCAAGGATCTGGCCATTTCTACTTCTTGAGTCCTTCAAAGTACCTCAAATAGACTAAATTAGAGCACATTTGGTTGACGAATTTTAGGAGATAATATTATATTAGGGCTATATGTAAATGAGAGCAAATATATAACTTTTGTAACATCATGTTAAGAATAATATAAAAGCCTGTGACCTCTTTCTTAATTGCAAATGGTGAACGGAGAGGCTCACGGACATAATTTTATTAATGGGGTCACTAACTTTTATAAACCGATAGATAGTTAAATTAAAGACATATTACTAGGATTTAAATTTAGAAATTACTATCGATTCTGAAGTCCAAAACCCCAAAAAATTGACTAGATATGAAAATAATCAATCCAATGAGAACTCAAAATGCAAAATTCATGGGGACATCAATCAGTGAAATACCGAATATGAAGAGGCACTCTAATTGGCGGACTATACACAATAGTGGAGCGAATTGAAAATTTAGTACGCAAAGGATTTATATTTTCTTCCGAACCCTTAAAAGTAACCCTAAAAAACAGGTAACGTTATACGGGGACTATGCGCTATCGTCAGTAATTACACTGGACCCAACCATGGGGTTGGGAAATTTTTCGGTCGGTAGATAAAACTCCCAAAAGGGGATTTCCGGGTCAAACTTTTTGGGGTCCATTTTATGGAGCTTAACCATGCATAAATGCATTATACTCCGCAAAAGTTAAGATAGAGCTAAATTTGATACAGTCCTAGGGGTTACATGAAGAATAATTTGTACAAAATATGTGTCAGGTCGGTGTACATTGTGATATACCTCCACAAATGACATTGCCCCTTTCAAATTCCTCAAATGTTGGTAATTTGTATTTTATATTGTATAGGACCATGCTTTGGTAAAACCCTCATATATGAAGGTATCCGTTGATTACAGCTATTTTCAGGGTCTTGGTCACATTTTCAATGGATTTTGCCCTTATTTAACATCTTAGCTTCTAAAGTTGTAGAAGACCTTTTCGCACAAGTTTTTCAATGTCAAAGTTTCGGAGTAGCGCCCATATAAAAGTACCTCATGATTTTACCTATTTCGAGTGTTTTGATTATATTTTCTTATCGATTTGGCTTAAAATGTGTATTTAGGCTACTTTGGGGTATATAACCATCTTATGGGCCTCATGGGCCTATTATAAACAGTTGATGTATACTTTTTAATATATGTGCTATATTATTTAAATTAAAACCTCTGGCTTAAAAATAAGATCAGATTTTTTGAAACACTATAAATATCCCGGAACATGAACCTGTATTGAAATATTTGCTTATTTTTATTTATATTTATTATTTATATTTATTTATATTTAATCATTTATATTAAAAATTGTGCCACTTATGTGAGCCAGATCTGTGAATTATTATGCTTTAAAAACTAAAACTACGGGCCGGCAACGTGGACTGGGCCAGCTAGTAAATTAAAAAAAATTAATTTTTTTGTGCCAAAACATTTTTTTTAATGTTCCGGCCGCTTGCGGAAACATAGCTGAGTGCTACCGGACACGTCCACAGGTTGCGGATAGTGAGATAGTGAGATAGATAGATATATCGGGCAGCTGCGAATTAAATAAGCAGTCGCGAACACCTCAGCAGTCTCTGGGGGGAGAGTCTCGGGCTAAATACCCGAGTGTCTATGATCCCTGGACTCGACGAGGCGAAGTCACTGGCGCTCCTAAACTATCCAGTCAACGGACTGGTCCGCCGTAACGGACTCCCTAATTCTGGGGTGTTACGTAAACCGTGCCCATCAGTGTTCCAAGGTTTGCAGTCAGGGTACCGACTGTTTTCGAACGGTTGCCTCGTCGATACCTGGGCGCCTCGACGAGTATTAGATGCCAAGTCCTTACCATGATATGGAGGCTATGTCATGCCGGACCTCATCACCTCCAACGTCCAACTTTTTACACGGAGAACAAATTAAAATCAATAAAAAACAAACCAATTACAAGATTTCAATTATGGGTGGGGACGAGACTCTGTTGACGTACAGAGACGTGGTATGCGAAAGAATACACAGACCCTCATCTGAGAGAGAGGAACCAGTCCAAGAAACTGGAGAGGTTGCTCATACCCGTGTCGAGGTGAGGCCTATAGTCGACGAAGGGACTTCATCGGAGCACACGGAGCAATGCTACCAACGTGCGGGTCAAGGAAGGCGTCGGGGAAAGAGGCACTAGTGCCTCTACCAACCGCGACGACTCTGGATCGAAAGAGGGTAAAGCAAGGAGGGGCTACAAACGGTCGGTGAGGTATCGTAAAATCTTCATTGGCCGCGACCCCCTACAGTTTACGGAGAGGGAAAGGACCTGATCAAGACGAATCTAAAGGCAGTGCGGAAATTCGAAAAGAATTATCCGCAACTGCAAAAAATTTCTCTTGAATGGGAACTTGCCTCTCTCCTTACAGACCTCGGGAAGAAGGTGAGTCCTGTTGGGGGCAAACCTATGAACGAGGCTGGGGTGGGAAGCAGTAATACTCCTGAGATTGGAATAACAGCTTCGGCTGTTGCACCATCGACAAAAGTATGCGCCGCTCCCACCGTGTCTGACGCAGGAAAGCGGAAAAAGAAAAGGAAGAAGAAGACCACTGACGGAAACAATGCTTCGGTGGTTCCAAAGGAAACCAAATCCTCCTCGTGGTTAACACTAAAGAGAGGACGGTCAACTGAGGAACCGCATCCCGAAGCAAAGAAGCTGTCAACGGGTAATCTTCTTCCTCCGCCACCTGTGTCATCAACACTTGCTGTTGGCGAGAAGGACGTTGCTAGGCCGACTCAGGCAGCCCCTACAGGCCCTAGGTCTGTAATTGCTAAACCTGCAGCCGCCAAACCGCAGCGTTCGAGCCAACCTAACAGGAAGAGGAAACATTCCCAAACCACCTACCCGGACAACCTCCGTGTAGCGGTCATCGACCGAGCTGAGCCGGAGGCAAGATCAGCGAAAGTCGTTGGCTTCTCATTGAGGACCGTCTGATGGAGTTGGTTTTCCCAGGGGAACGTCCATAAAAGATGTCAACGCAGCATCCAGATTCAGCAGAGTGCTTTCAAAGGACCCCAAATCCATTGGTTGCATAAAACGGAATGACGGTAGCTGGACTGACTCTGGTCTAGAGCCACTCAACCTGTTTGCCAATACTCACTTTCCGAACTGCTCCGATGCGGTAAATGACCAATTGTTAGATCGGTCTAGTCAGCATCGTGGGGTGGAGGATGTTAGTCTGACTGAGAGGATTATAAGCGCACCCAAGATCTTTTGGGCTATATATTCATTCAGAGAGACTACTAGACATTGAGATTAGATCTATGATATCCCTGACCTCGTTGAGCACATCTCAACATGCCTATACTAAAGGCAGATCTGTTGAATCAGCGCAACACGAGGTCGTGGGTTGTATAGAGAAAAACCTAAACAACTCGTGTTTCACTTTGGCAGCCTTTCTCGATATTGAGGGAGCCTTCAATAACGTCACACTCGAAGCAATTCACAGTTCCCTAGTAAAACTTAGTATACCACCACACCTAATAGACTGGATTGATGCCATGCTCAGTAGCAGAATCATCAACTCAAGCATCAGGGAGTGTTCTGTCAGGAAATCTGTTACTAGGGGCAACCATTACCACTACTCTGGCTTTTGGTGATAAATGAAATTCTAATCGAACTGGAACAAGGTGGGACAAAGGTCGTGGCTTACGCCGATGATGTTGTCTTACTGATTGCTGGGAAATTTCCCCAAACTGTTTCAGATCTTATGCAGGGAGCTCTAGTTAAACTCACCAGATGGGAACGCTGCAATGGACTTGGCGTGAACCCATCAAAAACTTAGCTCGTACTTTTCACAAGGAAGCGGAAAGTACCGGATCTTTCGCTGCCTATCATTGATAGTGTTTTGCTAAGCCTTTCCTCGGAAGCCAAATACCTCGGTACCATCCTAGACCAGAAGCTAAACTGGAAGAGGAACATCGAAGAGCGTGCGAAGAAGGGTTTAATTGCACACTATTCTTGTAAAAACTCCATAGGAAAAAGCTGGGTTCTCAAGCCGCACATAATCAAATGGTTATATGAGTCTGTCGTCCGACCAATTCTAACCTATGGGGGGCTTGTTTGGTGACATTCCTTAGGGAAAACCACCTTCAGCAAAAGCATTGATAAAGTCCAAAGAGTTGCATCGCTACTAATTACAGGCGCGTTTAGGTGCACACCCCAATCCCCACTAGACACCCTACTCAATTTAAACCCGTTAGGTTTGTTCGTAGAGGAACAAGCTGCTAGGTGTGCCCTGCGGCTCAATGAACTGGGTCAATGGCGGGGTCAGCCATTCGGACACTCCGCCATTATCAAATATGTGGAAAGTATAGTAAATAAGGCTATAACTAGTGACTATATATCACCTAGGCATAGCTTTAAACCACTTGATATCCATATACCTAACAGAGACATTTGGACTCGTGACACTCCACCTTTTAACGGTATAGCTGTCTATACTGATGGATCAAAGATGGAAAGTGGAACGGGAGCCGGAGTCTACTGTGAAGTATCCAACGATCCTTCAAATTAAACAACGACCTTAGTGTTTTTCTAGCAGAAATCTTCGCTATCAGGAAGGCCATAGAGCTGCTGGCAAATAGAGTCAATGGACCGGACGGACCCGACTCAGAATTTTACGCCGATCAAGAAAATATATACTTTGTTGGGTCTGACATGAGTATTTTGAGGAGTTACAAACGGAATGACAAAGTTCTAGCTTATTTCGTGTTAAAATAATAAGATTGAAATCCGATTTGCAGTCAACAACAGAATTAATGGCAACCAAGATAACTTATTTCGGTTGTTAACAAACTTTGGTAATTAAACTGTAAAGTAATACAATAATATAACTAAATCTTACCTGAAATTACAGGAAGTGAAATTAGAGGTTTTATTTGTGGACGTTGTGCAGTGGAATGGTGATCTGTTATTTGTATAATGATGTTCTCGTAAAGGACTAACAACTAGTTTCGGTAAAGGGGAAGGTGTTTCATTTTCAATACCAATCTGGTTTTTCGCATTTCTATTACAGCTTGACTGTGACACCGGCTGCCCGCTATATTCCTCCGAGATGCTAAAAACGGAATCCAAACGAACCGACGAAGATGTATCGCTTAATGTAGGACAAATAGATGTTTGTAAACAAGAACCTGAATTAGGTTTTTTTGGTAAGATTGGAGCATCTTCGGTCTCCGGCAACTGTCGAGAATCATTCCGTATTGGTAAAGGTTGTGTTAAGAACGACGAAGAGGAATTGCTATTAACTGAAGTCGATGTCCACTTGGTGCCGTTACGATCCGGTATATTTACGTTGGCAAAAACAGAGAATGCTTGTATGTCATTTGCAGCCGCGTTAGACCAACTAACATTCGGTGAAGGTTGTTCCCCTCCGGGAATTTCTACCGCAGGAGATCGAGCTGTAACCGGTTGGATACAACTGGTTGAATTTGGTTGGGCGTTATTAGAACCCATGCTAGTAGAACTAACATTACTATTAACATTTTGTCGACGGGGTTTAATGCCTGGGGATTTAAGTGATATAGAACTCCATTTTCTAGGCTGTAATACATAATAATTAAATGTTTATTAAATCTAATTTAAATGTCTCTTACAAATTTAGGCGGTTGTTTGCATCCTCTGGGTTCAATTCGAAGACTTTCGTGATACAAAAAGTTTGATATATCTGTATCAGACATGCCCTTAAATGGATCCAGATTTTCCAAGAATCTCTGAAAAAATACAAGTATTGAAATATATGTAGACACAATTTCGAACAATGAGCAATATGTAAAAAAACCCAATAATTTGGTGGACAAAAATAAAGCTAAAAATATCGCTGCTAAATTTTATCGATATCGGCTCAGATTTTTCTTCGTTTCGCGTGTAAATCCTCAATAAAGGCAGTAATGAGGCTAAATATAGATTAAAATTTATTTATTTATTTATTTTTTGTACTAAAGAATGAAACTGTTGTACGCTATTTGCAACGTATATTTAACTTTTTGTACGACATAACGGGGATCTGTAATACCTGTATTATTTTAATCGATCAATGTTTCTCCATTTACTTATTAAAACGACCGTATTGGTGTATTGTAGATTTAAGGCTTTTACAAAATTTTGCCATTAAAACATTTTTATATTCTGTAAAAATCCATAGTGCAAGATACATTTTTTAACTATCAACTATAATTTTTCATAATTAATTAGTAAAAGTATCGAATTATATTTCCTAAATAATATGAATTAATTTATATAGCACTAGCTTGCCCGGTCCGAGTTGCCGGCCCGTAGTTTTAGTCTTAATGCATAGTTTTTAAAGTATAATTATTTTCAGCCAGATGTTTTAATTTGAGGGTTCAAAACCTAAATAATAGATTATATGTATTAAAAAGTATACATTAACTGTTTTTTAATAGCTCCTCTACCCCCAAATTAGCCTAAACACACATTTTAAGCCAAATCGATTCGGAAATATAATCAAAAAATTTCCGTGAAAAGGTCTTCTACCCCCTTAGAAGCTATGATGCCAAATAAGGGTAAAATCAATTGAAAAATGGGACCAAGACGCTGGAAATAGCCGAAATCAGCGGATACCTTCATACAAGGGTTATACCAATGCATGGTCCTATTCTTATAATTATTTGAAAGAATGTGTTGTTCTTCCTAAAATCTCAAATTACCAACATTTGAGGAATTTGAAAGGGGCTACATCATTTGAGGAACTACTTCAATTTAGACCGACCTGATACATATTTTGTACAACTGATTCTTCATTCAACCCCTAGGACTCTATCGTAACTTTGGCGGAGTATAAAGCAAAATATTTGTGGTCCTTTGTGTTTGGTTAAGCTATATAAAATGGACCCTAAAAACATTTGACCCGAAACCCCTTTTTGGGATTTTTATCCACCAACCAAACAATTTTCCAAGTGTAATTTCCCGCAGTGTAATTACTGACGATAGCGCATAGTCACCGTATAACGTTACATGTGAGTTAAGGTTACTTTTAAGGTTTCGGAAGAATTTTCCGAGGATATGAATCCTTTTCTTTCCAGATTTTCAATTTGCTCCACTATTTTGTATAGTCCGCATATAACAGTGCTCTTCATATTCGGTATTTCACAGATTACATTCCCAAGGAATTTTGCATTTTAAGTTCTCATTGGATGGATTAACTATCATAAATAAAGTTTCATGGATTTATAAAAGTTAGGGACCCCATAAAGTATGTTAAAAAGTTTAAATCTTTGTTGATTAAATTATGTCCGTGAGCCTCTTCATTTACCATCTGCAATTACGATAGAAATCATCAAATTTAATATGCGTCTTTCAAACTTTCCACAGGTTTTTATATTACTATTAGGATGATTGATGTTATAGATATATATGTAGATATATATGTTTCTCATTTAAATATATCCCTCATATAATATTATCTCCCAATATTCGTCGACCAAATGTGCTCTAAATTTTAGGTATTTTGAAGGGCTCAAAAGCATTTTTCAGGCTATAAATCATTTGTCAGAAAATTACAACAAAAGTCCACTTTATGATTTATTTGTATTCCCAAGTATCTCTTTATATTCGTTATATTATCTATTTTAACTAAATTTTCAATTCTCAATTATCAGTATTATAAAGGTCTTAGCAATATTTTCCAAATCAAAAGTAATTTTAGAATTCGTAACTTTTAGAAGATAATGTTATAAGGTATTTAGTTTTTACCTGTCGATTAAAGTATATCTGTCTGTGTATGCCGAAGTTCGTTGAAGTAAAGACGAAATATTTAGGTTAATTTTTGAACTACAATATTCCTAGGAAGTTAGAATATATCAGTTTCGTTTAGGTATAATAATACCACTAAAAATTCGTCCTTTTGCATGTTTTTATTACAATTTCTACCGAATTATCTGTAACTTGACATTTAAAGTTTTCGGTATTGTGAAATCAATACCGGAAATAACTAACTACTATTGGTTCCAAATTAGGCATAGCCTCAATTTAAAAGTACGTTGAGATTGTTAATGTTTTGATGCTTTAAAAAGTATTTTTTAGTCAAAATTGAAAATTTTGATTTGTCAACCATATAACGGCATGTATAGAAAATATGCAAAATTTCTTAATTTTTTCAGTTTTTTTCAATAAGAATTTTAAATTCCAAAAGGCATTGTGTTTCTTCAGTTCCGCGATTTTTTATAGAGGCTTTTGTCAACATTTTCTTTCATGAAAACGTTTCCTCTGTAATTACAAATAACCAAAAGAAAATTTGAGTCAAATCGGCCCAGCCGTTCTCAACTAATGTGTTACTATACTTTTTTAAATTTTTTACATACAGATTTGAAGAAGTAGGTGTGGGCAGTTCCTCTGACCTCAAACAGATACCTAAGGTTGGAGGGAGAGTCAAGATTACGTCATATACTAACTGTGGAACAGATATCTTCATGATTTTGGCAAATATTAAGATTTTAGTTAAATCAAAAAAATGGGCGTAAAATTGGGCGTGGTCACTTTTTCTTTGAATAAAAACCTAAATCGAATATTAAAATAAAATTTCCATATATATAGATTAAAAAGTAGACGTGGTCAGCGGCCAAATAAATACCTAGGACTGGATGGAAGGCCAACAGTATCCCGTATAATAATTTTCAAGCCGATATCTTTATTATTTAGCAAATATAAGGAATTTAGATGAATCGAAATAGTGGGCGTAAAAGTAGGCGTGGTTAATATTTATTCTTTAAAAACCTAGCTCGGAGTATGACGAACGTTTGTACAAAAAATTATGCAAATCGGTCCAGCCGTTCTCAACTGATTCCATTACCAAGGAACAACAATTGATTTTTATATATATAAATTGTTAAAATTCTTTTTATTATATGTTTATCTACTATTATAATTTATACATCCTATAAAGTAATTTCTTTTGTTATTATATTCTTCTTATTTTTAATTTAAAATCATCTTCTGGCTCCGATCATCATATTATCATATTTATCTTCTGTGATTATTTGACCTAAGCCATCCTTCAGTGTTATGACTTTAAAAAAATTAAGAGAAAATTTTGTTGGGTCTTCTTAGAAATCAAAATTCATTTTAATCAATTGGTCACACTTTTAGCTTTCTCTTCCAATGTCATGTTGTTCAATTCTGCCGAAGATAATTCTCATTGATTAAGCGTATTCAAATTCATAATATTTCATTAATTTGATAAAATGCTGATGGTGGCGGCTCACAACACACAAAAAAGATATCAATCACACGGCAGCGGGTTCTACGACACCGGACTGACCCGAAACAACGATACAAACAAACAAGCATTTTAGGAAGTGTTCCGGTTTAAACCGGTTGCAAGACTATAACGATTCCACTGGCCTGAATTCAGAGAGTTCACCAACCTTCGCTTCAGAGAACTGCCCATCCCTTCTGATGTTCGGGTAGCGGAAAGGATTTTCCAAGACATCATTTAAGCTGCAGCCGCTAGCTATATACCTGCTAGTCGAATACCCGAAGTAAGACCAAATTTCCCAGCAGAGGCAACGGGACTAGCGAATGAGCATGATGAGCTCCGACGTACCAACCCTATTGATCCCTGAGTCAGTGAATTGACAATGGAAGTCAACAGGTTGGAAAAAGTGACTTGATCATCTGAAGTGATCCAACAACATTGACCAACATTAGAACTGATTTAATTAAACTATGGGTAAAGGTTAAGTCACTTTTGAACCCTGGGAAAAAGTATGACCTACTGATCCTAGAGTCAGTGAACTGACAGTCTGAAGTTTGCAACATTGGAACTGATTTAAGTAAACTGTGGGTAACGGCTAAACCACTTTCGAACCCGGGAAAAATGATGATAGGGCAGCAGCCGCATGTAACGACGTAACGGTGACTAAGTGGTGCGCTGGCCATTTTAATTTTAACAGCTGTCGGACGAGTGTCTTGGAAATGACAACAGTCTGAAGTTGGTTGCAGTTTTTTCATATCACCCTGTATTTCTATCAACATATGACCTGTTATAAGGATGGTAGATATCGGACCATTTCTTCTGGTACATTCCCCACATAGGGTTCAAGATTTCAAGACAGTTAAATTTATTCCAGTGACAGCTCATTATATTACAAGCATGCAAAAGCATTTTGGTGAGAACTTTCCAGAAAAAGAAGTTATAAGCTATAGTTGGAATTCAAGCGTGTTTCTTTATATTTGGCTGGAAAACCACAAGTGGCTATCGTTAGAGCACTCCAGCATTAAATTTGAATAAATCTTTTTTGTCTCGTGCCATCGCTCGTTACCGTGATATCAGTATCACGTAGCCCGACATCAAGGAAGTGGATGGAAGAAAACAGCAAAATCAGCCAAAATGAAACCCGCGTCGCAGTGGCCGAAAATGACTCGTGGCTGAACATATCGCAATATTCCATTCGGCAAATATTGAAAAATGAGCTCGGGGTAAAGCCATTGAAATTCCAAAAAGTACAAGAACTTACACCGCAGCAGAGAAAAAATAGACTCAAAAGAGCTAGAGTTGCTTCGCTTGGCCGAAATTGGTGAACTGCCGAGTTTGGTTTTCTCCGATGAGACAACATTCGTTGTCCAGCAGTTTGCAAACAAACAAAATGATCGTGTTTACTTGCGAAAGAGGTCAGCTGAAAATGTGCACCTTCGGTTGGCCACCAGAACTCAAGCGCCAGCCATGGTGATAGTGTGGGCCGCCATAACAGTGGAT